CATTTATGAAACAGCTTGATGAGAGGATGAGATTAAATATTACCTATAAATAAATACCATTGCCTAACTTCATCTACAAATACACAGTCACTATGTTTGACTGGAAGTCCAATAGCCTGTCAGAGCATCCAGAATGTGAGAAATTGTTGAATTCAGTCCTAACTTTAAGATTGAATTTCTGCAGATTTCACAGTAACGTATCGAAAATAAAACTTCAACATTAAGAGTGAATTCAACAACTTGCTAAATTCTGGAGCTCTGAAATGTTAAGTAAATATAGTAATTCTGGATCCAGGTGGATTTCTCCCATGGATACCTAAATTGGCCTTGGATCCCTGGGCTTAGAAACAGGAAAAACAGCTAAAGGGATTGAAAAAGAATTTAAACTAGAAAATTGCAGGATAAGTGCCTTGGTTCATCTCATGCAGGGAACCATGACCATGAGAACTGTGCACCAAGGTCATATCAGGTTGATATGGGATGTTAGTCATGAGGTTACAAATGTATATTTCTATGCGAAAGAAAATCTGACACGCATGTGGAACTCCGCCAGTTTGGTTCAATAACAATCTTTATATTTTGACATATCTCTTCATCACAGGAATATCACAACCCAACAACAACAATTTAAGTTTTCATACAGCACCTTCATGTCGGGAGGACGTCCCAAGGCGCTGGAATTTTGTTTGGACAGTTTTGGACAATCCTGGACAGTTTTTGATGTAACTGCCAGCAGCACAATAGAATTTCTGGCATTTGATCTAAATACATAGCTTGCCATTGTATTGCCATTGTATCTGTCTAGCAAGCTTTCCCACTGCTTGTTTAACTAGGATCACCCAGACCATTAGGGCTTAAATTAGAGATTGCAGGGTTAACAGGAGCTTAGTGGGAAGAGTCTCTGCCTCCAGTCTGCCACTCAAAGTCTTACCCATAAGCCAGGTTGCCTGGTCTGTCACCAGCAGTACCCTCGAGTACCTGCCTGGCTGAACGTGGACTGTTGAGGCTATCACAGATGCAGGCCACTCTATTCCAACATTCCAAGCCTGTCACTTTCAAGGAGTCCCCACTTACCTCCCTCCACACAAGGAGGAAACTTACCAAGTTCTGAGCCCTCACTAGATGGAAGGTATGTACCAGGAACTCCTTGCAAGCTTCCTGGTGAGCAGCAAATGCATGAGAGCATTGGTACCATCTTTCTGCCCATAGATCGGACACATATCCCGACCCATTGATTGATGGTCATAAGAAGGAGGCAGAAGCAAATAGATAAAGAATGGAAATTGCACTGTGTATTCTGTCTCTGCAAAACTCCCTCTTTATACACGTTAAAATGCATTGATAAACCAGAGAGACTTGATATCCCTAGTGCACAATGGAGAATTTACACAGTATGTGTAATGACCACAGCCAGTTCCGATTGGCAATGTTGTTTCCAAATGTTCCCCTATTTAATTTGGAAGACTGGCCATTTTTAATTCATACACATCGGGTTAACTTGTAATCATGTAAATTCTTAGCGTGGCCATATTTAGAGTTTGGGAATGTTTTGAGAGTTGAATGCTTTTGGTGATAAATGAGGCCCATTCAAGTGCACAATGTTATCTGTTGACTTTTTGCTTGCTTTGCTTGAGACTAATCTTGCTGCTCACACTGATAAGAACTTCCTGACACCCTCAAGATCCTGAGAGAGAAATTTGGGCCTCTTGAATGGTTTCTATTTTAACTCCTTTGTTGGCCACATTTGAGAATCCCTCATAAAAACAATTGCCATCACCCCTTCTGTATTTCTTTGCTAAGTCTTTGGTAGCAATGTTTCCCAGCGGGCGTATCTGACCAATCCTAGCTACATTAGGAAAGGCAACATATATGCCCCATAGGCAGCTGCTGGCAGTTACATCAAAAACACTAGGAAACTGAAGTTGAGGGCATCATGAAATGGGCATGATGACGCTTTTGTCAGTAATGTAGTCTAATTTGCAGATTGTGGTTGTTATGAGTATTACTTATGGGGGAAATAAATTGGGTCTCCTTTAAGCTGAGCTGGCTCTAAGGTGATGTGCTTTGGGACGTCCTCCCGACGTGAAAAGCGCTATATCAAATGCAAGGATTATTATTATTATTATTTGATAGAGTGGCAGGAGCAGAGAATTAATTATTTGATGACAATGTTTGCAAACTGCAAAGGATGTGTCAGACAACCTCATTTTATGAGCTGGGCAACTGACATGTGGAAACCCCCTTCCATCGTTAGAAGTCTCCAATTCCAGCCAATAAGAACTTAAAGAAGCAGAATTATTTTCATGAGTCATGGAATAAGATGACGCTGAGGGTGTGTTGATGTGTCAGAGGTGACGTCCTTCAGATGAAATGTTAAACCTAATTTCCCGTCTGCCTGTCTGGGGATGTTAAAGATTTCATGACACTGTGACAAGAAAAGGGTGTTTCTTCTGATGACCTTGTCAACTACTCTCCAGATAACATGGACTACGTTTGCCTATAGAAACAGTTATCAGTTACTATACATATCAGCAATTATCCATGAAGTACTTTACGGAATATTTTGTTGCAATGTTTCCTATTTCACTGAGGCCACCAGAAAGAATTGACTCCAGCATATTGCTAGGAATATACTCGTACGAGATGTTTAACCAAAATCCCACGGCACTAATTGAAAAGAGAAGGGAGTTTCCCCCAGCCACCAATCCTCCAAATAAAATTAGGCATCCACTTCATTCTGTTTGTGGGGTATTGCTGTTTGAATATTGGATGCCACATTCATCTACAAAAATACATAGTCACTCCACTTAACAGTATATCCTGTGAAACATTTTGAGTCGGCCTCCTGACTTAAAAGGCTCTACATTTTTTTTATCATTGATCAGCATGGAGCTAATTTAACTTCCAAAGAGATTGTCACAAGTTGGTCATCAGACAATATCACAAGTGCAGGTTTGAGCTCTCACAAGATGGATAGTTGGTTCTGGGACTTTTTCTGACTAGTGTGGTGAACAACACAGCTGTGACTAAAATGTGTGAGTGAATTGCCACCATCTTCGAGAATACAGGGAGGACAGCACCAGCTGGTGGGGAGACATCTCATCGGAAATTGCTGATAATTCTGCATACCAACACAGAGTAGCCACCCAATCCCAATACAAGAAATGTGCTTCTGACTCCAGCAGCTGTTATCCAAAGACTCAGAATTTTCTTGCCAGTTCTTTCACAATTGTCCACCGGGGGATGTGAAGCAGGCCGGAACGCACTGAGCAGAGGGAGCGGCAAGATGGTAGAGGTTAGGAGGTCACAGAGGTAGGGAGGAGCAAGACCATGGAGGGCTTTGAAGGTGAGGACCAAGATCTTGAACTGTATCCTCTGTGTGATGGGAAGCCAGTTGTGTCGGGCGAGGATGGGGTGATAAGGTCCCGGAGCCTGGTGCGAGAGAGGACACGGGCTGCAGATTTCTGGATGACCTGTAGCCTACGGAGGGAGAAGTTGGAGAGGCCGACAAGCAGGGAATTTGCATAATTAAGGCTTGGCGGCCTGCGGTGTGAGACATTGAGGGAGCCGGGCGATATTGCGGAGGTGGGGGAAGGCAGAGCAGGTCACGGCGCAGATGTCTGGTAGAAAGGATAGTTGAGGATCAAACTAGACCCCAAGGTTCTGGACTGGCTTAGTGAGGTGGAGTGTGCAACCATGGATGAGGTGAGGAGGCACTGACGGGAGTCAATCAGGAGAGCCTCGGTCTTGTTGACGTTCAACTGTAGATAATTAGCTCTCATCCAGGAGTTAATGTACGACAGACACTCTGTCAGGACAGCAGTAGTCCTGGAGTCCAGGGTGGAGGCAGAGAGGTAGAGTTGGGTGTCAACCACATACACGTGGAAGTTGACCCATATCTGCGGATGATGTCACCAATATCAATATCAATAAAGATATCGAAGAGGAGAAGGCCAAGGACAGAGTCCTCAGGAGCTCCGCACGAGACGGCGCAGGGGCTGGAGGAAAAGCCGTTTCTGGAGATGAAGGGGAGGCGGTGTGAGATACGATCCGAACCAAACGTGGCTCTTTGTTGGTTGCACGGGACAGATTATTAATAACTGTAAAATAAACGAAGCAATCCTGTTCTCGAGTGAGCAGATACAAGATAACACGAAACCAATGTTAAGAGATACAGCGTGCAGCAGAGTGGCAGTAGCTGCAGGGCATTGGTTCACGTGTGCATGTGCGTGTGTGTGTGTGTGTGCATGTGCGTGTGTGTGTGTGCATGTGCGTGTGTGTGTGTGTGCATGTGCGTGTGTGTGTGTGTGCGTGTGCGTGTGTGCATGTGCGTGTGTGTGTGCATGTGCGTGTGTGTGTGCATGTGTGTGTGTGTGTGTGCATTAAAACCTGGCAAGTGTCCAGACAGTCACTTACCTTGACAGCAAACCATGACGTCGCAATCTGTGTGATCGCACGTAGTGTGAGAGTGTAAACAACACAATGCACAGAGCGAGAGAGAAAGAGAGAGAGAGAGAGAAACCCACACACAGCTGTGCAAAGTTTACACTGTAACCGCCCTCTGCACTGTGCAGACAGCGAGCGGTGTGGGCTGATCAGGGCAGCAGCGGGGCAGGGGCAGGCAGGGCAAGGGCAGGCAGCGGGGCAAGGGCAGGCAGGGCAAGGGCAGGCAGGGCAAGGGCAGGCAGGGCAAGGGCAGGCAGGGCAGGGGCAGGCAGCAGGGCAGCAGCAGGGCAGGCAGGGCAGCAGCAGGGCAGGCAGGGCAGCAGGGCAGGCAGCAGGGCAGCAGGGCAAGGGCAGGCAGGGCAGGGGCAGGCAGGGCAGGGGCAGGCAGGGCAGGGGCAGGCAGGGCAGGGGCAGGCAGGGCAAGGGCAGGCGGGGCAAGGGCAGGCAGGGCAGGGGCAGGCAGCGGGGCAGGCAGGGCAAGGGCAGGCAGGGCAAGGGCAGGCAGCAGGGCAGGCAGGGCAGCAGGGCAGCAGCAGGGCAGGCAGGGCAGCAGCAGGGCAGGCAGGGCAGCAGCAGGGCAGGCAGGGCAGCAGCAGGGCAGGCAGCGTCTGAGCGCGGGGCTGAGATCGGATCAGTCGCATACGGTGTGAGATGGACCTGAAGGGGAAGGTGTGCCTGATCACAGGGGCAGCCCAGGGCATCGGCAAGTCGTTTGCAGAGACTCTTCTCGGCCTCGGCGCAAAGGTAAGGGACCGACTGCAGCCGCAGAGCCCCGGAGCTGCTCCACACTAACGGGTCCTCGGCTAAAGCTGCGGTTACAACTGTGGCAGCGATACAGCGGCTGCCAAGTGCATGACATACCCGGTGTGGTTTAACCCCTGTCCCCCCCCCCCACCCCCCCACCCCACCCCCTGTCTCACTCTCTGGTTGGATTACCAGGTGGTACTGTTGGATGTAAACGAATCCGAAGGCGAAGCGTGCAAGGAATCCCTGGATAAAACGTTTGATGCAAACTCCAGTTTATTCATCAAATGCGACGTGGGATCAGAAGAACAGTTGTCATGTAGGTTATTAACTTTCCCTGAGCTGCAGGGGGTGGGGGGGGGGGGTGGGGTGGGGGGTGGGGGTGGGGAGACTCAAAACTAACACTATCTAATTGTTTTAAATGCCTAACTTTAAGCAGACTCCTCCTGCCTGACTGGGGTTTCTGCAAACTTTGACCCACAATTGGACTGTATGAAACTTTGTAATAGAAATGCTGCCAGTGATTGCCATGGGATTTTTTCCGACTGGTGTTTTATCATTGCATCAATAAATAAAGGGCTGTTAAAGATCTCTTGACCAAAACTTCGCACTTGAGCAACTGAGTGTGTAGCCGTGCAGTTGTGGGGGCGTTCACAGCGATAAACTCGAAGGATCATGACAATAATTATCCTTGTATTTGATATGGTGCTCAAAGCGCTTCACAGAATATGCTGTAAGGTGAATTGACTGTATATTTGCGGGCGAAACGCGGCAGCCAATTGCCCACGGCAGTGTCCCACAAACAGTCGCGGATTGACGTGACCAATTTATTATTGTTTTGTTGTAGGGATTATTATGTTTAAAAAATTCTTTCAGAGCATCAAGTGTGAGCCAAGAACCCAATGCTTGTCAGTAAATTGCACATTTTTGCCCTCCTATGCCAGGTGCTTTCAAAAGGACAATTAATCACTTTGGAAGGCTGGACATCATGTGTAACAATGCAGGAATAAACAATGAAAAGAACTGGGAAATGACAATGAACATTAATTTGGTAAGCAGGAATAAAAGGCAACTCAATTTACAGGGCTATGGGGAGAGCGCGGGGGAGTGGGATTGATTATCTTCAGGATTGCTAACTTCTCACTTTTTTTTCCTATCTTACAAACTTTTTGTGCCCTCTTTTGTTTTAGGTAATTTAATGGGTTCAGATCGGATCTGAAGATCTTCCTCTCAGACCGTGACATACGGTCACCTCCCTGCCTCCCTGGCTTGACATCAGGCTCCGCCACTATTAAGCGCTCTGCCCACATGAGGGGCGCTATATAAATGCAACTTGTTGTGTTTTTTTCCCCCTTGAGGAGTTATTAGAAAATTGGAATTGCCCTTGTTTATTTACAATCACAAGGAAGTTTAACGTCAACTAGAAATAATTCAATATAGGGGAGCTGGGTCAAAACAGCGAGAGATATTAAGTGGTGTACTTCAAAGGTCTGTTCTGGGACCCCGCCTATTCCTTGTATACATTAATGACCTGGATTTACAGATGCAGTGTAAAATAGTTTCATTTGCAGATGACGCCAAGTTACAACAACAACTTGCATTTATATAGCTCCCTTCATGCGGGGCAGTGGTCTTGAGTGGTTAAAGTTAGGGGACAACTGTGGAATCACAGCAAAAGTCCTACTAAAAACGCTAATAATGTATGTACATGGGCTGATAACTGGCAAATGAAGTTTAATACAGATGAATCTAAGGTGCTGTTTATAGGATGCATGGGATAGAACCTATCAAGAGGGAAACTGAATGAGATCTAGGGCTGATAGTTGACTCAACTCTTGCTATATCAACACAGGAGGTAAGTGGGGTCTCCTTGGAGCTGAACTGGCTCCAAGGTGACATGCCTGGCAATGGAATGCCGGAATTGAGACAGTCCTCTGTGGTGGTCTCGGTAGTCCAGTTCCTGAGCCAGTATGGCCCGCAGTATTTCAGGGCACTGCTGATGACATTACAGCCAGCCTGGCTCATCGGCAGGACCTTGAAAGAGCAGATCAGTCACTGGGGCCAGGAAGTCATCCCACTCAGCTCCTGTTAACCCTGCAAACCAAAGCCCTAATGGACTAGTTGGACAAGCATCCGTAAAGCTTGCCAGACAACAATATCATTGGCAAGCTATCGGTTTTAGCTGGTTAGACTCCAGCAGTACCTGAACACACACTCTGGGGTCGCCAAGCCTTAGCTCTTGCCAACCTGTGCCTATTACTTTCTGGAATTAGGTGAGCATGATGCATTGCTCCAAAGACAAGGTGCGTATTCCATTCCAACAATCTATCTCTGGGATTTCCATGTGTAGGTGGAATGCATGGAAATCTCAGTTTGTTTTGGATACTCTTAAGCATGGTGATGGGTTTCCTCATGTGTCAGACACCGGACTGACCAAATAAACATTCTTGAGAAGAGATGACTCAGAGGGGACCTCATAGAGGTGTCAAAATTTCTCCAGGTTCCAAAAATGCAAAGAGAATATTATGTAGACCTTATTGACTGATGGTAGCTTTAACAAGGTGAGGATTACAAAGGCATTTATTCCCATCCCCGAGAATAGTGATTTAACGCTTCATCACCAAATTAATTTTGAAAGTTAAATTGAAAGTTACAATGACATCTCCAGATCCTCCTTAACTGAAACAATACAGTAGGAGGTTAGATTAGAAAAAGCCACCAGGCAAAACCTTCATTCAGTGGAGATGATATTTTAATAATAATCCTATATTTGATAAAGCACCTTATCGCATCGTGGAAATGTCTCAAAGTGCATCACAGGATTGACTGTAAATTGTAATGACTTTGTCGGCCAACTTGGCAGCCAATTTACACACAACAATATCCTACAAATAATTATGAAGTGAATATTAATTGTGTCTGCCTGGTTAATGATGCATTTCTTAATTATTCTGACAATAGATAAGGAGCGGAATACATTTAAAAATACCATAATTTGTTGTCCTCAAAGTGTCATTGAATTGACCCGAGACAATGATTTACCTGTTACAAACCAGTATTGGCATTGGTGTCCAATAAACATTGCTGGAGACATGATCAAATAACCAATCAGATATAAAGATAGAGATTTCAGTCAAGAACAATGAGATGCAGATCTGACTGACTCCCAGCTGCTTGTTACTTTCCCAGGAAATATAACAACTGATTAATACTTATTTCTTGATAACCTGGTTGCTCCCATTGTCGCCTCTTGCGGCAGTGGGTCTTTGCTCTTTGGTATATTCATTGACTATGAAACTATAATACAGGAAACAATTGTTTAACATCCAAATTGTGCACACATTACTTCATTATTAAATAAAGGTAAAGTTTCCTTACATCACCAGTTAAATCCTGCACATGAATTGATAATGGATGTTTGGGGGAATCTATTCTTAATGCCTTAATTGAAGCTTGCACTAAACTAGCAGATATTTGAATATTATGTATTTTTGAAACATTTTTCTGAATGCAGATATCTGTGATAAGAGGAACGTACTTAGCATTGGATTACATGAACAAAGCAAAAGGTGGGAACGGAGGTGTTATTGTGAATACTGCATCTTTAGCAGGTAAGATTTTTTTTCTCCAAAAAAGATATCCTACTCTCAGGAAATAAATGCAGGTAGTGTAGTTCTGTAGAAATATCTGTAGATAAAAAATAACAAATAAACGTTGTATTTTGGATTTGATATAATAAGATTTCTTCGGTAAGGGCACTCTGAGTAAAAAAGAGTTGCTATGGTTTCAATGACTTGCTTCCTCACAGTTTTGTGGCTGCTGATCTTAACCAGAGCAGCAGGAGAGGTGCTGCAATTGATCTAAAAAGACCCTAAATTTAAATTGGGGAAATACCTGTCAGAATCCTACTTCAGTGACTCCTGTTGTAAAGTGTGCAAGTGTAGACATCAGTCTAGGACCTGAAATCCCACTTAGTCTTAATCCAGATCTTAATATTCAAGGAATTGTTGAAAATTCAAAAATTTAGACATAATTTAAAAGCAGTTTTTTTTAGCCAGTTTCCGAATTAAAAGCAAGTTTCAGGGTTTTTGGCAATTCTGTATGATCTTATATTCCAAGATAAAACTGGACCTAAGACTAGGTGGAATAGGCCTGAAATATTTTTTGGAGGGACTGAGTCAGTCCCGTTTAAGACAAGTGCAGCCTAGTGCAACATCAAAGATGAGCCCTTTCCTCTTCCTTACCATGCAGACTCAAAGCTGTCCATCATTGAACAGCCTTCGAGGTCCATTGCGGTGGGGAAGGCAGGGGGTTCAGCCTATCTACAGCTCACCTCCCCTTAAAGAGATGAGTTGTGGATAGATTTGGGAGGGGGTTGAGCCCCCGACAGCTCCAGCCAAGGGCCCTAGCCACAATGGTTGAACTCTAACCAGAATAGGGCTTGGCTGCAATACCACTAGTGGCTGAATAGTTTGTTAATGTTCACAGAGAAATTTCATTATAAACAAGGAGTAAAACAAATGCTATTTTTACCAATTGACTTGTAGTAAACCTTCATTGTCGAGGCCTGTATATGTGAAGAGTTGACACTTGGATGAGCACTAAAGAATGGCTGGTCCTGTAGAGCTAATTAACTTGATAATCTTCACATCAGATAATAATCCTATAAAAATCCTTGCATTTGCTATACTGCCTCATCATGTCTTCAAGACATCTCAAAGCTCTTCACAGAATATACTGTAAAGTGAATTAATTAACTATATTTTGTGGGCGAAACGTGGCAGCCAATTGCGCACAGCAGTGTCCCACAAACAGTCGTGCATTGAGTGACCACTTTCTTTTATTTAAATACATTTTTGAAGGGTTGATTACCCCCCAGAAGAGTGATCTGCGTATCGACTAACAACCGAGTTCCGATTTACTGCCAGGTAAACAGTGGCATATGGAATAAAGAAACTTGCCCAACGAATTGAACCTCAGGCTCAGGTCCTCTCACTTGCGAGGCGAGTGCTCTAACCACTAAGCTCTAGGACTCCAAATACATTCAGATACAGTGCCTTAGTACAGAGAAATGTCTCAAAGAGCTTCACAAAGCATTTTTTTCTGTAAAGTGTAGTTACTGTGTAAGTGTCGGTGAACTGCACCCCATCAGGAGTCAGGTACATCACAGGGGGTATAATGGGGAGAAAATTGTCAATGAGAAACCCTTTAATGTACATTTTCTGTTGTTAACTGGTGTCCATTCAGATGTGGTTATATGTAAAACAGTTGCAGAATATTTAAAACTTGATCTTTATTATGCAAAAGGTGAACTTTGATATTGTCGTGTGCCTGCTGATTTTTTTGGACTCTCCTAAGAAGTATGAAATAATCTCACTAGAAGATTCACAACCCTTCCAGCCAAATGACTGGAGTATTATATTTACCAGAGAAGTGTTTTTTGAATTATTTGAGTGAGGATCACTGGTTTCAATTACAGGCCTTGAAATGCGCTAAGGCTATCCTGGAAGTTCTTGAAGCTTTTTGAGGAAAGGAAGCTTTGAATGAATGCAGCAGTTACAAGCAGGCACTGTAAGAACTGTATTTGCATGTTTGATTTACTTTTCAATGATTTCATAAGTTTCATAAGTTTCATTGTCAGTATTTTATGGGGATTTGATCCCACGTATTGATTTGTTTGAGAATGTTGATTATAAAAATTGTACTGCATTTGCTTGGTAAATGGGATCTAACTTGTAGTATTTGGGTTACTGTCAATTTGTGGGAAACTCCAATCTGGAAATAGATCCCATCAGAGCAGAATCCCCTGCAGGTTAGCAAAGAAGAACTTCTGGTTCTCAGAAGAGGTCACCATTTCCACAACTTAGATTCCTTAAGAAATCATATTGAGAAAAGTTAGATATTGAAATTCAGTATTCATAAAATAAGGCAGAGTCTTTTCATTCCATGGGTGGATTTCAACATGAGGTTGATATGGATAACTCTTTTCAAAAAGCTGGCACAGACACGATGGGCCGAATAGCCTCTTCCTGTGTTGTATAATTCTATCATTCTATGAGTTTTATCATTCTCTCCAGACGTTTGACTATTCCATTTCATATGGAACCTTGTGTTTTTAAAAATGTTTCTTCTCAGTGAGCTGAGTTTCCTTCTTTAAAACATTTCCTACCATTAATCATTCACAAATGGGTTTTATTCAGATAACAATATCCAACATAGCAATGAACCAGATGAAATGTATACACCAGTGAGGAAATGCTTGTTAGCAGATGTTCATGTTCATGCCAGATCCAAAGTAAACATATCCTTTAAAGCAGTCCGTGTGCTCCCAAACCAGGCTCCGTGAGCCCATCGTTCCCATCCTCGCTCAGCTCCACTGGCCCCCATCCCCCAGCGGATCGAGTTCAACTATTCTGCTGCTGTAGTCTGGAACTCCATCCTGGAGTACCTCCACCTCATCTCCCACCAAGCCTTCAAAACCAAACTCAGGTCCTTCCAGCTCAACTGTATGAAATGCTTTGAAAGTCGCTATATAAATGTAAAGTGTAATTTTAAACACAGTCACTAGACTATACAGTATATCCTCTGAAGCGCTCCTTCCAATGTGAAAGCCGCTATATCAAATATAAGGATTATTCTTATTATCAAAGGAACTGATGATAATCAACACCAAGAAATCGACAATTGAGCCAATCAGGAGAGCCTCGGTCTTGTTCACATTCAACTGGAGGTAATTTGCCCTCATCCGGGACTTGATGTCCGACAGACAGTCTGTCAGGACAGCAGTGGTCCTGGAGTTGAGGATGGAGGCAGAAAAATAGAGTTGGGTGTTATCCGCATACATATGGAAGTTGACACCATGTCTGTGGATGATGTCACCAAGTGGGAGCATGTACTTGTTGAAGGGGAGGGGACTAAGGACAAAGCCTTGAGGAAAGCCGCACAAGATGGTGTGGGGGCTGGAGGAGAAGCCATTTGTGGAGACAAAGTGAAGACAGTGTGAAAGGATCTGAACCAGTTATGGGCAGAACCATGAAGGTTGAGGTGAGAGGAGAGACGGTGGAGGAGGATAGAGTGGTCAACAGTGTACCAATCATTAGATCACTGCCAAAGTCACTTCCTGCTTTACAGATAATAATACTTGCATTTGATATTGATATTTGATAGTGTTTTTCGTGTCAGGACATCTAAAAGAGCTTCACAGAATTTATTGTAAAGTGTGGTGACTGTATTTACTAGGCAGATAAGTGTCACATTCGTCCAATTCCAGGAAATTCATCAATGCTGAGCTGTCACCCACACAATTATGGTGCATCCTTAGCTGTACAGTTAAAGTACAATGCAATAGTTTAGTGGAAATCCCAGTGGAAGATTAGTAACTGGCACAGTGCCAGCATGGGTTTTCTTCAGATTAACATCAATTATAGGAATTCAAAGGCAGCAGGCATGAAAAATATTTAAAGGAAACAAAAAAACTGAAGATCTGACCAAATTTAATTGTGACGGGCTACATTAATAGTAATAATAATCTTTGCATTTTATATAGCGCTTTTCAAGTCTTCTCGACATCTCAAAGCGCTTCACAGAATAGACTGTAAAGTGAATTGACTGTATATTTGTGGGCAAAATGCGACAGCCAATTGCGCACAGCAGTGTCCCACAAACAGTTGTGGATTCAAAATGACCAATTTTTTATTGTTTTATTTTGGAGGAATTATTATTAGGCGTGTGGAGTAAGAAAACTTGCCCAAGGTTTCGCCCTGCCTGGAATTGAACCCAGGTGTCTCGCTTGCAAGCCAAGTTCTCTAACCACTGAACTACAGGACTCCAACATTGTGGGAACATTGTGGGAATTTCCTAATTTCCTGTACCTTGGAGGAAGCTGAGTGTTCAGCACACTTAGCAACCACAGCACATGTCAAAAAGCAGCTGAAAACCATTGAAAGGCCTCTCATATCATTGGGAAATATATGTTTGTGGTTATTTGAGCCTCTTGAGATACTTTCAGTTATTTAAACAAAAGAAGTTTGTTTACTCCAAATACGTTTGTGTATGTTTTCTCGAAGGCTTAATTGTTTAATAATAATAATTGCAATTGATATATTTTTATAGTTTCATATACTTTTAGGCTTCATGAACCTATCACCCCATTTGGTTGAGTTCAAGATAGCCATTCTCACTCCACAGTCTCGCCCACCCTACCTCTGCCACCTCCTTCAACTCTTGCAACCTAGCCGTTCAACTTCATTCACTGATCAACGGCCTGCTTAATGCCCCTTACCTATCTGCCCCACTATCGATGAGAAGACTTTCAACCATTCTGATCCCACTCTCTGAAATTTCATCCCCGCAGTTTCTCGCTCTCCATCCTCTCTTTCAAAGCATGTCTAAAAATGTATCTTTTTGACCATGCTTTCAGTCATCTTTCCCCTCCCCACGCTCCTCGGCTTCCACTCTTGGGTGCCCATCTAACAGTGTGAATGCATTTTGGGACATCCTCTCAATGTTAAAGGCATTATACAATATAAAATGTATTGTATTGATATGGCTGTTCACATCAGGAAGATGTCTCAAAGTGCTTTAAAGGATTTATTGTAAAGTATAAGTATTC